CCCATCTGGGCTGTATAACCCTCCTATATGCAGTTTTGTCTTTGCATCAAGACAGAAAATTGTTTATGCGTCCATCAGAGGTTGAGCTTCGCTCATTCCAACTCGCCAAGAGATCATATGACACACTAAACAGACACGCAGCACACACAATAGCAAGGCAGGGCCTGCAGCCAGCAGCAGGATTACGAGTCCTTCATGTGAGTCTGACTCCCTGCCTTTTATTTTTCCACTCTGGCAGCGTCCCCTAAAGGTCTCTGGCGCAGCCCTCACGGTCTAAACTTCACAAAAGTAGCAGAGTGGTCTGCAGGTTGGCTCCTCATCATACAGTCACGGCGGGGTATTTCTGGTCACCGGTGGGAGGAGGGCAGGGGGACTGGAGGGGTCTGTATCCTCCCTGAGTGGGGTCCATGAAGGCTGCGGCAGGGTGGGCGTAGCCGATGTACTGCGGGTGAAGAAACTGTCCCTGGTGAGGCATGATTTGCGTGGCCTGCTGGCAGTTGAGCACGGAGAAGTTAGTGGGCATGTTGACGAAGACGCTGGCATCGGGGGGCAGGCAGCAGGAGGCCTGGGCCCGCATGAGGGCAGGGGGAGCGGGGCGGGGTGCAGCGGGCGGGGCAGAGGAGCTGGACGAGGTGGCTGTACTGGACTGGCGTGACGATGAACCCCTGGAGGTCCCCACGCTGGCCATCATGGGGATGGTCTCCAAGAGGCGGCCACTGCCCGGCCCTCCTCCTGTCGCACCTCCTGAGGACAGTTCCTGTTTGGGGCGGAGGCAGCGGCAGCAGCACACGGCGACCACAGAGCCCACCAGGATGAAGGCTACAAACACAGAGCCCACGATCAGGAACGGCACATAGATGGGAACTACAGAGAGAGAGAAGGAAAAAAAACAGCTATCACATCTGCTTTTGTGGCAAAACATTGACTTTCTAGGTTGAGCATTAAACTTCAAAGCAGTACTGCCTCACACACAAGTGTCTTGCTTCCCTTCACAGCAAAAACTCCCACAGGTGAGTGGAGATTGGGTAAGGCAGTGAAACAAAAGGTTGAGCGGAGAGGAGTGTTTGGACTTGGGTAGAAGAATGAGAGGTGCACTGGGACTGAGAGTCCTCAGGGAGCCCCGGGCTCTCATTAGCAGTTATTAACTTTGTTTTGATCTGTTTTAATCCTCAGCACCCTGCTGTGTCCCCAGCCTCCTCGACCCTGTGTGTGTGTGTGTGTGTGTGTGTGTGTGTAGCGGTGACATTCTTAAGCCCGGCTCACCAGCAGATATTTGTGACCCTTCTTTTTCTTCGGCTATTTATGACCAACCCTTTGAAAATAAGTTACTCGAGTTGAACTGCAGTACTTGGCTTCAGAAGGGTATTAAAGTCGACTGATTTAATGGGCTGAATGGGAGCTCATTCAGCCCATTAAATCAAATGAGTAAGCCAATTTCTTCTCACTGACCTGTTCTTTCTCTTTTTGTTGAAAACAGCAAATCAGACTCGCAAGAAAGTTCTTGTGTAACTCTCACAATTCCACCAGTCATTCTGATTTGTTGGGTCAAATAGTAAAGGCATTATTAAAAACAATCTTGACATTTTTATCTGTTAAGATCTCAGTTCCAGTTTCTGTAAATGTGCTAAGTAAGCAGGAGAAGCTCCAACAGCAACTTTGAAACATGATCAACAATAACTTAAGGAGAAATAACAGCGTTCTTTGTTCTCCAATTTCACCTTTTGGCCGAAAAGCGAAGGCACGTAGTGAATGTTTTTGGCAGAAACGGGGTGACCGGCGAGATGAGGTCACTTCTGAGGTGTTTTTTTCTTTCTTGTTCATTTCCCATGCCCACTCGCACAAACACCTTACAAACACAATAAAGACCATGTCACATTATAAGTGATCGGTTGTGTTTTATTGTTCCCACAGGGTGTAGTTATTTCCTCCTCTGAATGTGCCCATGCGTTATGAGGTGTAACTGTATGCCAAAGAGAGAGAGGTGGAAACCCAGCTTCAGTTTCCTTTTGTCTCTTTGAAATACATCCATACGGCCTTGAGAAACTTTTTTCATAATGCTCATCAAAAGTAGCAGGGTATTAAAAAGGATTACTGCATGAAACATGTTAAGCTAGGGGACATTCATCAACTGAGGCGGTAAGACCGGGTGACAAAAGACACAGGCCAGCAGCGAAAGAGGCTATGAAACAAACGAGGACCTTGACCCATCTCCCTTTGACAAGAAGTGGTGTCGACTTCAGAGGCTAATGTACCTCACAGCTACAGACCTTCCAGTAAACAGGTTTTAACAGGAACTCTGTTATGGCAACACATATATACGTTACGAGCACAGAAATGTCCTGCACTTATAAGGCCTCCACCTCTACATCTCTGCTTTCACTCCCTTTTTCTGTACTGATGAGGATTAGTAATTGCAGAATTGCTCATCTTGTTTTACTTCACTTCTACTTTCAACTGCAGAGCTCCTTTCCAAAACTGTAAATCAGTAATGTTGGGGGGAAACACCACTTAAAGTTCAGCAAACAGGCCGCAGTGAAGAAGTACTCAGATCTGTGTGCAAGTAAAAAATACAGCAAATCTAAAAAAATACTTCATTACAAGTAAAAGTTAAATTTTCTAGAAGTATCAAAAACAAACAAACTCATTATGGATGTTGTCTTGGATGTTGTCATAGGGATATTGCATGTTAGCAGCCCTGAGGCTGTATACTTATAGGTACAATGTTGCTTTGAGCTAAATGCTAACATGCTCATAATAGCAATGCTAAGTGGCGGATGTTTAGCAGGTATAATGTTAATGTTGAACATAATGGAAATCACATTTCAATCTGGTCCAACAATGCTATCAATGGAATCTGGTTAAAAAATCAACTTTGCTGGCTGGACACATTTGTACAATTTATTTTTACTTTTAATCTGTTTTTTTATGAAATGTTGGAAAACCTTTCCTCTATTGAGCTTTAAGCGGTTATTTAAATGTAATTAGCTCTCTTTGAGGAACTGCTAACAGCTCATAGACATCTGAAATGTGACAAAAGTGCTCAGGGTAGCCACTGGTTTAATATTTAAATGTATTGTACTTTATAAGCTAATACATGTTGTTTATGTTAAAATCTTAAGGCATAACTAATAACTACAGCTGTCAAGTAAATGTAGTGGAGTAAAAAGTACATTTCCCTCTGAGTTGTAGTCAAGTAAAAGTCAAAAGTATAGCATCAAATAGAAAGTACAAGTACCTCAAAATTGTACTCAAATAGAGCCCTTGAGTAAATGTACTTAGTTGTTTCCACTGCTGAGCCTGCACTGCATCTGGAGAACTGTTCTCACTTTGTGAAATTTCTGTTTTAACTGTCTGCTATTTTTTTTTCAGAGGACTTTATTTCTTTACCACTTGCTAAGGTGTGATGTTCTCATTTTGTGCACATGGTTGTTGAACCCCTTATTGTTCCCTGTCACTCCTCCACACCTGTTGCTGCAGTTAGCTCAGCCCCCCTCTCTCTTAAGCTCTTGTTTTGGGCACAATCTTTGTGGCTGTGCTGGCTGGACTCTCCCTCGTCTCTCCCACAGGATTTCTCCTGTTCCTAAATACCATATGTTCCTTCATGTTGAGCACATTAATAATTTCCTGTCTGTTATCCATTGACAGCACAGTGTGTTTCTTTCCTGGATGATTAATAGGCTGCAAACATATGAAAAATGAATGAAATACACAAAGTGAACTAGGCCTTCCTCTTGTGAGGAAAAAGCTGCTTTTATTCTTTAAGTTATTTTGGCTGAAGGCCACTGGATGAAATGTACACTTCTTCCTGCAGTGATAAGGCATGATTGTTTTAGCAAATGACAGATTATAGCTAGAGGTCCAAAAGAGGGCATAATATCCTCCAAGGAAACATGAAGTAAGCCTGTGTTGCCTTTCTCTCTGATGTCCAATATTTGCTCTGCTTTCCTGAGTGCTGTTATCTACTTGTTGATCTTTTATTAAAGATATGAAGCAGCTTCAAGAGGCTTTATGGTAAATGAATCTATGGGAATGTAAGCAATGATGAATGGGGAGCCATTATGGCGAAAGAAGATGTATTGTTACCTAATCCACTATGTACATTTGACATTATGGGTTATAGTTTGCCCTTAGTTTGGTAATGATGCCTCTCTTAAATACAGTTTATACATGTGTGTGTGTGTGTGTGTGTGTGTGTGTGTGTGTGTGTGTGTGTGAGTGTCTCCTTTTAAGCAGCTCTAAGTGAGAATCCCCTGAAAGAGCACAGACACCAGAGAGGCTACAGTGGGGGATTACAGGAGGAGAGGGACACGAGCCTGGCAGGAAATGATGCATAACACGATGTGTGTGTGTGTGTGTGTTTTTTATTTTTTATGAGCAGAGCTGTCATCGCCTTTGGTGAGCCACTGTCCAAGATCCGGTCAAATCCAAACTTGATCCCCGTGGGGACAGCGTGATGTGAGCCTGCGGTCCCTCTCGCACTGGCCAGAACAAACACAGCTATTTATAAGTGCAGCATGGCACAGTTTGCCATTTGTGAGTGCAGTTAACTGTTTTGTTTGGAGGAGTCTGCTGCTGTCTCTTGTGCAGCTGTCGTTGCCAACTGGGATAGGCAGCAGATGAGCCTTTTAACAGGGAGATACTGTGGGACTGTTGGGTTTATGAGGGGAAAACCAAACTGCAGTAATAGGTCTGCAATTTACAATATCAAATTTAAGACATGCTGTGCATGCACCCCTTGGGGCACGGGGATCAACATATTTGTATTAATTTATGAGTCACTTTCAATTACATTAATTGGAATAAACCAAAAACAAACATTCAGCAGTGTTGTATTGTTGTTTTAACTGTTATTCACAAGTTTTAGTATGTATACTGGTGATAACTGATTATCAACACATTTGTGGAGGAAGTTGCTGAAACAGTAGAATTTAATACCTGCACCGGAGTCCTTGTTGTCCTTGCTCTCTGTCCCGGGCTCCTTGGCCTGCCGGTCGTTATCGCAACTCCCTTGATCCAGCCGGGCCTCCGTGCTGGAGCAGCAGTAGCGCAATTCGCATTTCCCGCAGCAGATGATCGCGTCGTCTGCGTCGATCTTCTCCGGACACTGGAAGCCTTCCTTCCACGCGCCCTGTGAGTCGTGCCAGCCGTGGCAATACTCCCCACTGGCTTTCACGTCGATAATAACCAGGAGTAGAGTCACAATCGCGGTGACGGACATCGGGAAACCTCCTCCCCACATCCTCGGCCAGGTGGCCCGCAGCAGCACGCTGGCGCACTGAAGGAGACAGAGAGGCTTTCACTCCCCGCGTCCAACCTGGTGAGGAGAGTGATACGGTGGATCGGTACGATGCGGGGAGCTGAGGGGATGAAGTGGGGGAGCAATAAACCACTTAGAAGCTGTCATTTGTTAGAGGAATCCCGTGCGTAAATCAGATCCAACGTCTCCAAAAGTGACTCCACAGTGTGGGTGATTATCCAAGAGTTGTAGAAGACAACACAAAGAGGTCTGCTATTGAAATTTAATTTCTAACAATAATTCTCCATTTGTAAACCTTCAGAGCTCTTGCTAAAACCCAGTATGGAAAGAGTAAATTGTCTCCTCTGGCACCACAGCGAGGTTGTTCATGTCTCCGGACTCTTCAAATTACTTTACACAGGGATGCAGAGAAACCAAATCGTGTAGCCTGATCCATGCTGCTGTCACTCATAAGACCCCTCACAGCCAGCCCTGTGCGCAAAGATAAGATTTCAAACTTTTGTAGCTTGGTCTGCATTGTTGGGCAAGTCAGCCAAGTCTGAGTCCGTGTAACCCGATTGAACTAAAGCGCGCAGAGTCTATCCAACTTTGCGTCAGAGTAAGAGGGGCGTGTAAAAAGTCAGATGCAAATACAAAACCTCTTAATCGAGCAATAAAAACCAAGTTGGTCAAGAAGCAAAAAGTAAAACACAACTTCCGATTGGAAATGTTAAAATAAAAGTCTAACTAGAATGAAATGTGCAAGTTGAAACTTTATGGAGTGCTTTTAAATAAAGTGGCCCAATAAATGATGACTAAAATAAACAATTCAAATAATTTATTGTATGGAAATTTTGAACTTGTTATAGTATCTTCCAGATCTAAATTGTTTTGCCAGCTTTATGAATTTTCAGTTTTATCTTTTGTTCTTGCAGATATACTTCAGAGACATTTGATTGGCTACATTATCTATCAATTATGGATATATGCTGTCAACCACTTTCATTTGTCACTGTCAATGCAAGCCCTCCTCATTGCTTTTTTTTTTTTACTAAAACATACTTTTATTTTGAAAGCAAGCTACGTTATTTCTGGTTGGATATTGCTGCTGACTTGACGCAGCTTCTCACACCATTACACATCAGCTATTTACTTGGAGCAATTGCACCGAAGTTCAGTTAAACTTTTCCGGGCTGAGCTTGGTTGTCGCCTGGTGAAAAGCATCTGAGAGTTTATCAGTTTGAGTCTGCGCCTGCAAGCATCCCTCCTCTGCCATCACCAACAGGGGCAGCGTTCACCAGCATTTACGCACATGGTGCCAATGCCATCTAGTGGCGTTGCCAGATCTTTGCTTCTTTGCAAACAACTGGCAACATCACTAGATACACGTTAAGGCTAGTTAAGGCCACTTACTTGAGTATTCCCATCAGTTCCACTTAGTAATTCTGCTGCACCACATTTAGGAGGCAGATACAGTTTTTACTACATTAAATGTATACGACTTATTTGAACATGATGCTTTATGACCGGTGGTGGAAAAGAAATATGTAGCCTATATTTACTCACAGATTTTTAAGTTCCTGTACTTCAATTTATTATTTACATTTTGAGGGTTAGGAAAGCCTACAACAGTGCGTGCATAAGCACAGGTTCTTAAAATGACCTCCACCCCAGAGAGCTGCAACTGTAATAAGATGCTATACAGTTAAATGGCAATTCATCTCTAAAAAAATATAAACATATAGTAGTCTATATCTTGCTCATAAAACGTCTGAATGCAGGAATTTTGCTTGTAACAGGCTATATTTACACTGTGGTAGGCCTTCTGCTGCTTACAGCTAACTATCTGACCACATCTTCCACCACTATGAACTACACTACCCAGCAGCTTATAGCGTTAAAGCAGTTAGCTCCCACTCAACAAGCTAGCTACAACATTAAATACAGCTTCAAACGATGTAGCGTTACATCAGTAATAATGGTTAAATAGTATCATCTTGATGGCTTAACATTCACGTGGTCTATCTTGCTGTATATTGTATACTTTTATTTTTGATAAGAATTCCTCTTCCACCGCTGAACGATCCTTGCTCGCCAATACTTCATTTCCCATGATGCTCCACTGTGACGCGTTAGCAACAGCACAGGAAGTGGCGCGCAACTGTTGAAAAACTGTCCCACAACAAACTGAAGAGGAGATGTTGATGCTGTTCACCTTTGTCAATTTTTGAGCTGTTGTGGCAAAGTTATAGACAACCCGACGAGCTTTTCTTATACAACTAACAGTGGCTTCGTAACGTGTAACGTAAGTGCTATTTCTACATTTAGCTAGCTTAGCATTAAATCACATTTTAGCTCGGTTAACGTTAAGCAAGTTGTCTGAACAGATGTCGTTCGTGAGAGGTGGACGTCCACAACAACACAACAAAGGTAAAAGGCCTGTTCGACCCAGGAAAGCAGCAGCAGCTCCCAAAAAAGATTGGGTGGTGAGTACTGTCTGTCAAGCGCTAAAATACATTATAAAGGCAGTAATAGTGTTTTTTTAATGAAGTAGCCTGGAGTTATGCTGCACAATTCCACATATTCCCCTTATTTTAGCTGTGAACATTTTCCCTCATGAAGTAATCTTCGCTTAATCCTTATCTTTAAATGCATAAAATATAATTTCTAAGTTTTGAAAGCAAATGAAGTGATGTCGTCCCTCTCCTGGTGGTTTCAGAGCACCGTCAATGACCTGTCTGTGCACAAGCTGTCGCCTGCAGAGCTGGTAAGGTGTTTGACTGTGTGACCGTGTACAACTGAGAAGCAACTCATACTGTCATACTATGTCTTATAACAGCACGTGGACATCATTTTAGTGAGCTGATGGTACTGAAAACAACAGATCAAGGTATTTCCAGCCCATATTTAGTTGTCTTATCAATCGCTTCTGCCTCAGAGCCATCGGCATGAGATTCACAAGTCCCACAACAAGGCAGCGGCTCAGTGGGAGCAGAGAGAAAAAGCCCTACAGCGCCGGTTCAGACCCACTGGGAGCCCTGCAGCTCTAGACCGCGCCAGCCTCAGCATCATCAGGGAGGTACGTGTGACGATGAGTTCCCGTTACTCCTCGTGGTTTCTTTGCTTTTCTCAGTGTTTGTTTGTTTTCGAGGAACTGTAGATTTGTGTTTTACTGCTGCAGGTGTTCTCTGACAAGCTGCTGCTTCAGGATGTGCTGGCTCGCTCTGACAGAGCCATGGCTGTCGTCAAAGACTTGTTTGGAGACGCTCCACGCAGGCAGACTGGTATAGATCTTCTCATTCGCTCTGTTGTTGTATCTATAGATACATAGAGGCAGTGCTAAGTGAATACAACACGCGATGTACAAGCAGAAGCTTCACATTTACGATATTTAGTTTTCCAAGAAGATGAGATGTTTATTACTAAACTAGAATTTCTCTTTATTTCTTCCTGAGATTTTAAGGATTTTTGGGTTGTATACAGAGTGTTTATGTATTTCTGCAGGGCACCCCAGTGTGACGATGGCTCCAAACTGTGACTCTGACTCAGAACTGCCTGTGCTTCAAAGACCAGATCCTCCCACTCAGCTGTCACTGCTCAGCCAGTCTCTGATGGACCCACAGGTGTGTGTGTGTGTGTGTGTGTGTGTGTGTGTGTGTGTGTGTGTGTG